TAGCCTTCCTAATATGACTCAAAGTGACTTACAGGGGTATTTTCTTTTTACCTTTGCAATGGCATCATTTTCATCTGTCAAATTCAGAAATTCATGTTTGTAAGATTTTTAAAATTTCTATTTAAAACAACAATATAATAAGAAGTAGAATAAGACAAATAAGTTACCAATCATATGAAATTAGTATTAATAAAAACATTTATTTGTAGCCTACTATAGAGGGTGTACAGAAGAACACAAAAGTGGCTTGTAGGTACATTTTCAGACGTTTAATGAGGCTCAGAGGTGGCATGAGTGCAACTAAAATCATAAATTCATGTGGAGATTGTTTTAAATATAAAATTTTGAATACAGAAATATTAAATGATTTAAATAACTGAAATCATACCTAAAAATAAAACTGAAACTGAAAATCAGTTCTTTTCACTGATTTTATCACTGAATCATTCATTCAATTGATTCGTTTGAACGGCTGATTCATTCAGGAATGAAGCAAGTGACTGTCTTTATGAATGGGTAATCATGAATCATTGACTCACTAGATTAGTTCAAAAACGCACTTTCATTCATGAATTAAACACTGCTGTGTTTGCTTTTAGAGATGTGAAGCGGCTGAGCTGTTACTTTATTTGGAACTATTTTCGTTGATGAAATAGAGCAAAATCAGGCAGTACATGTTTATTGAACTGTTGTATTAAATCAATATCACATTTGCAAACTCCTTTAATAATTATTAAAATCTGTCACTCTCCTTATCGCGATCTGTGGGCGCACAGAAAATGAGAGCGAGTGAGTTCTCAAGACTAGGCCGGAGCCTGCTGCCATCCGCCATGATGGGGAGGAGCACGGAACGGGGACCAGGAACTTTGTTACACTGTTATACTCTTAAAAATAAAGATTCTTTACTGCCCTTCCATTGTACAAAAGGTTCTTTATGGTGGAAAAGATGTTCTTTTCACGAAGCAGTTTGTTCTTCTCAAGTTCTTTGAAGAAGAGCCTTTGAAGAGTCAAAACAACCTTTTGGTTCTTCCTGGGGTGTGTATCCAACACACAGAAACTACTAGGAACTGAAATTATGGCTTTAGCCCTAAGAATGAAACTCATTTTAAGTGATTAAAACAGAAACTGAAAGAGAAATAGATGCCAGTGCAGAAGGACAGAGAAGAAGCTGACAGAAACTCTGCAGGGGTTGTCAAGATATAGACATATCATAGGTGAAGAAATCCATCTTTAAGAGCTGCGATGATTACCTGGGATCAGATTGTTTTCTTACTAAAAGGAACCCACAAGAATTTTGAAGTGATTGAGATAAATGACACAGGCAAACCACTACCAGCTGAGATTAGAACTGGAGATCTTCTTATGAGGCAAATAAATGTCTTTGGAGTTTACCACGTTGGGATTTACTGTGGAAAATTCGTCATTGAGTTTACAGGTAATAATTTCACTTTATTAAATGAAATGAGAAATCACAGTTTATGTCTTGGGGTTATTAATGAACAAACACACACACACCCTAAACATAAAATAAAATATATTATTTAATATCTGTGTATCTAAAAATGTTGTTTTTTCTTATAGCTCCTGAGAATTCAAAATTCTTGGATCAAATCACAAGTTTTTCATCAACCAGTGAGTCTGGCACAGTGAACATGAAAAGTCTGAAGATCTTCATTGTAAACTAGCCGTACCGTGTCCTCCGTCTAAAGGTGGCTATTCCTGTGAACTTCTCTGAGTTGACTGATAAAGCTATGGACTATGATGAGAAATACCATCCTTTGACAAATAACTGTCTGCATTTTGCACTCAGACTCTTGGGGGTAAGCAAATGACAGAAATCAATCACATATTCATTTAGAAAAAAATATGTGGTATTGCATGAAAGGATTAAATAAACTTTGTTATTCCTCTATGCAGCTTGAAACAGGATCTCTTCCAAGAAGGTAAACATTTATTATTTAAAATGTATTAATGTCCAAAACAACTGTCTGTTCTAAATATATAATATTGTGATTTGCATAGATTTGTTATTATCATCTAATACAATCTAATAACATTTTTGTAAAGCATATTTAAACTTTACAAATGCTCACCAAATCTGTTGATGTATTTCTTATCTCTTCTGCAGCCTGCCAAAGAAAAGTGGTGAGATCATTTTCTAAATTATCTTAACTATAATTATATGTTTTGATTTACTCATCTTCCTAATTTATATTTTATTTTGTTTTAGCTGAGGAAATCAACATGGATGATTTGGAAGAAAGTGCTGCTTTGACACAGTGAGAAACAGCTTCACAACAACATGGAAATAAAATGAACCTTAAACCTTGAAACTACCAGAAGATGAAATCTTACTAATTATATTTGTAACAGATTATTAGTATATTGTTTAAATATCACTGCCTCAAAGATTAGGAATCCTTGTAAACCTGTCAAAAAAGCAGTTAAACAATAAATCAGCCTCTGTCCATGTTATTTTCTGTGAACAAATAAGCAATAATTAAATGGTTTCATTTATATTTGAAGTTTAAATAAAGTTAATTTAGTACAATCTTCTTACAGAGAGAGGATATATAAGGTCATATCAGAATAGAGATTGGTATTAATGTGAGTACATATCAATAAAGGACAAAGTGGTGAATCAACAGCACCTGATTTCTCATGCAAGGAATTCGTTTTTCTTTGTTTTTATGCCTAATCCAAAAACCAGTCCTTCTTGTTCTCTCATCAACAACATTTTGGCCAGAAGCAACCATTTAAAGCTAAAACGTCTTAATGATGGATTTGTTTCTTACAAACATGCAGTTTTTCACTTCACAAGACATTAACTGATGGACTGGAGTGGTGTGGATTACTTGTGGATTATTGTGATGTTTTTATCAGCTGTTTGCACTCTCATTCTGACGGCACCCATTCACTGCAGAGCATCCATTGGTGAGCAAGTGATGGAATGCTACATTTCTCCAAATCTGTTCCGATGAAGAACAAACACATCTACATCTTGGATGGCCTGAAAGTAAGTACATTTTCAACAAATTTCAGCATGTTTGGGTGAACTTTTCCTTATAACGTTTATCGTTACATCCAATCTATGTCCAAAAGTGTGCAAATTACTCTTTAAGTAATGTGCACATGTTCTTGTTTGCATACTGAGGGATGGGTTGCACATTTGGTAATGGACAGTATGCCACATACGCTGTTGTTAAGTTAATAACACCGAATATCTCTCTGATTTGAGTTTACAGACACGTTCAGAGTCTGTTCTCCACATACAGTGTAAACGTGGGTTTTAGCAGTAATGTAACGAGACCAGTTCAAAGTCTCTCTGGAGCCGTACGGTAATGTTGTGCTGTGTAATCTAAATGTAATACCGCAGTCTGTTCCTCTCGCACGCTGCTTCCTCATACACAGGGTTATTATGGGTAATCAGTCCAGCCATTATAGCCCTTCATCACGACTGTGTTGTCGTGAGGTCTTTCATCATGCTTTTTTTTTTTTTTTTGAAACATGCATTATAACTATAAATTTACATACATTAGTATTTTATATCCTGTTGTCTGTTAATGTATACAGCTACAGAATGCCAGAGACATTATAGAGAAACAAATGTATTTTCGGTTTAAATTGCTGTCAAAGGCTTCAGAAGTCTGGAAATATAAAGCATGGACTGTTTTCATATGGTAGGCTATTTGTTTTAGAGATGGGTCACGATGGTCGTGTAGTTGGCTAGTCCAACAATCAACTAGTCACTTAAAATTATTAAAGTTATATTAAAATAACCTAAAATGCTTTAAAAATATGTACAATTAGAATGTACATATAAAAACCTGAAATAATATAATAAAAAATGATATATTTGTAATTATTTTTATTGAAGAAAACACACTTAAGTTATATTAAAGTATGCTATATATTAATATGCTTTCTATTATATATTATTTTATTAAATTATATGTCTTGATATAATGTATAATGTATTGAATATAGTCTAATTTCACTTTTTTATTACTTTTATTTATTTTAGTGCTAAACAAAAAAAAACTATATATATATATATATATATATATATAAAATTTTAAATTGTAAAATTTTATATACACACACACACACACTAAATTACATATATTTATTAAATAACACACTTTTCGAAAGTTACAAATATATTATTTTTATATATAATATATAATAAAAATGTACAACTTGTAAACTGAAATCATATTTCTATTTTTATATATTTTTTTAAATGTGTATATAATACATTTGTATAATTATAATATTATATATTATATATTAATTTCAATCTATTGATTCTATCACATTTTTGTGTATATAAAGCAGCTGGAAAACAAGCAGCTTTAGTCATAATGACAACAGAAGCATATGTTTGGTCCGGTCACTTAGTCAGGAAGCATACTTTGCTTTTTTATATGAAACCGATGACTGTCAGATTTGACCTAGACAAAAAAGCAAAGCGAAATATCCTGTTGTTACTGTGCTTCTGCTTTTATCTTTTTATGTCAAAACTCCGTCTTTCTTTGAATGTGCTCCTCACCTTTATGTGTGGATTTTGATTGGCTGGCAGCTACTGAGGTCAGATCAGCAGGAAGACCCACATACACTCCTCCATAGTTCCTGCAGAGCACACAGTCACACATTCATTATTACTGCCCGGATTCAGTCTCATATTGAGGTTTTCATTACTAGCAGAGGTCTTGCATGGCTTGTCATGATTGCAGTAGACCATCTAACCTTCGTTTCTCATCATCCGGCGAAGGTTCTTCTGTCCTGCATCAAGAGAATAAAGATGAAGACCATCTCTGTGGTTGACACATCTGTCAGATATCAATTTATATTAAAAAGATATATCAAAAAGATAACTGTACATTTGATGGGAATCGGTCAAATATGACTGATTCGCATCAAAACACATTTAGAAGCAGTTTTAATCTGAGAAAGAGACTGTTGATGAACCCTATAGAGCAGAGGTATATTTTATTTAAAGGGGTCATATGATGCGATTTCAAGTTTTCCTTTCTCTTTAGAAGTACAGCCTGTTTCAGTTTATAATGTTCACATTTTAATGCTGTATTTCTATCCATCACAGATTCATTTTCATTTGCATCAAAAATGCCATTGCTGATTTTGCAGTTGGGATTTTAACCTGGAATCCACTCTAAAGCTAAAAAAAATCTATAAAATTATTATTTATTTTTTTTCTTGACCGAGAATACACACTAAAGCTGAAATTATTTTATTATTGTAGTTATTTTTTTTTTTTTCATATAAAAATGTAAATACTTATTATTATTATTATCTATTAAAATTAAAAATGTTATTAATAAATATATATTTTTCTTCTGTAAAATATAAAAATCCATTTAACTTTTTATAATTTCTATAATTTGTTATTATAATTTTATAATTATAAAAGTAATTATTTGATATAGTAATTTATGCATTTAATTATATAATAATTTATTTATT